ACCGTTTTTTTGCTCTCCTGTAAAATTAGGAATTATGGAGTTAGCAGTTTATCACATTTCACCGACGATTAATGTACCAACATATTAAAATAATAGTTTCTTTGTTAATACGGTTTAGAATCCTTAAAATAACAGCAAAAATAATCCAAAATCAACAATGAAATAATAGTTTTGTTTAAACTTCTTAATCAGCTGAGCCCTTTTATAGTTCGCAAAAATCCCAGCTATATTATTACAATACTCTGAGGGAAATACGGCAAATACTCGATATTTTTTACTCCGCCCGTAATCACATGTTTCATTCCTTTAAAGCTTCACGATTTGTTCACCAGCTGGCAGTACATTTTGTCGAGAGGTTGACCAACTTTAAGAATATATAAACAAGGGATATAGTAAAGTAATCCAAACTGATAATATTTGAGGTTAGAATTAATAATCACGGAATCACGAAAGCCGTTTTCACATAAAATAAAAAAGATAACAAACTTTTATTTTATTTTGTTATCTTTTCAATTATTGTCTTATGTTATTTTATTCTTATTTTCGCTGTTTGAATCCGCATAACGTGAAACACCATTCTATTTGATTTCTATCCTATAATATCTCAAGTATACAGAAGCGACAGTATCTGCTTCCTTAAAATATGTGCCCGAAATTTTTAACACAACAGAGGAAAAATATGCCTTTATATAACTGATATTTTATTGTGAGGGTTTATTCTTTGCTAAATTGAGTAATACAAATTCATAAAATATTATCTATACTAATATATAAAATCCTTAAGTGACTGACTCACTGATTAATCACGATCCTGCTCAAACCACTCAACTTAAAGGCCGGTCCAGACACAACGTCTTATCGTACGACTTATCGAATCAGACAAGTCGTATCAAGTATAATCGCGCGTGTGGACCACAAAACGTACGTCTTGTATGATCGAAATAGGTTGGTACGATTTGTCGAAAGTTTGAAGCGCGAGGCATCATTTTATAAAAATTGGATCGACAAGTTGGAACGTGTGGACGAACGTCCGTTTTATTGGAAATTTTAACAAATGGTTGTAAGTTTCAGTGTCCATCCTCAGGTAATTACACCAATCATCTGGTTCAAATTCACGTAATAATCTGACATGAGAAAATTTCTGTCTTTTTAATAGCCATTCCCTAGACCATCTAAGTCTTCGATTTTGATTCTTTCTGGTTTTTACTACAACGCAAATAGCATAGAGCGACCAAAAAAACGCTTCTTACATGACTGAAAACGTCGCGAAACTAAAATTGGACCGGTTAATTGGAAACGTGTGGACGCCCTAATTTTTGTACGTTTTGTCGAACGATTTGTCTGTACGTATTATCGTCCAATAAGACGTTGTGTCTGGACCGGCCTTAAGAAGCTCAATTTTGGTATACAGGTTGATTCTAGGGTGTAGAGGTTCGATAAGAAGGGATTTTTCGAAATTCCAGTTCCAAGAGGGTGAAACCACCCCTCAAATATTACAATATTTTTTATTTAAAAAACGGTAAAGTTTCCGAAAAAATGCTTAAACACCTATATTTTATTTTGTTTTTTACATATTTTAAGATTTTTTGAAAATGTATACAGGGTGTTTCGAAAAATCTGGTCATTGATTAATCACGATCCTGCTTAAAGCGCTAGACGTAAAAAGCTGATTTTTGGAAAACAGATTGGCTTTAGATAATATAGATAGTAATAGACATAGATAGTAATAAGAAGGGATTTTTCGAAACTCGAATTTTAAGGGGGTGAAACTATCCCTCAAATATTAAAATATTTTTTATTTAATGACCGGTGAGTTTTTCGGAAAAACTCTTAAACACGTATATTTTATTTTGTTGTTTTACATATTTTAAGATTTTTTATAAATTTATATAGGGTGTTTCATAAAATATGACCATTGAGTGTAATCATGATTCTGCTTAAACTACTTGACGTTTCAAGCTGATTTTTGGCAAACGGATTGACTGTGGGGTGTAGAGGTTCGATAAGGAGGGGTTTCTCGAATCTCAAAATATAATAAAATATATAATTTATTAATTTTATTTTTATTTTATTAATTAAATAATTTTTAATTGGAATTAAACAGCTTACACAATTTTGATATCAAAAGAAAAAAGTCAGTGAAGCACATGTTTTTTTTTGAAAAATATTCCAGTGATAACCCATATGCAAGTCCCTGATGAATTTATCGACACTTTTTTAGCACTAAAATATGTAGCACTTATAGTAACTTTTACTCTCAAAATTTCATTCTAATCACTAAAAGTACTTGGAAGAAAATTATAATAAATCGAAAGACTATTAAGTCTTTAACACCCTGTAGCTACGAAACAAAGTAGAATCGGATCTATGTTTATATGAAAGATAACTCTTATTTTTGCGTGACGGGAGATGGCACATGTTGTTTGAAACACCCTGTATAGGTATAACAGTATAAATATGTATATTTAAATGAAGCAATTAATAATTCATAATCACATTAGAATTGATTGTTATTAGTATTATTTACCGTTGGAAATTTATGGGTTAATATACAGAGTTGTTCATCACATACGACACGGAGTATTGTAGCTAAACGATTAGATTTTTACAAATTGTAAGTTTTGGGTTCGTTGAAGGACTATTATAGCTACAAATTAAAAATGTTTTTACAAGATACAGAGTGTCCCAAATAAGTAAAAAATATTATAGTTGTATTTTTTTAAATAGAACACCCTGTATATTATTCTATTTTTGGACTCTACGATTGAAATAAAGGTAAATTTGATTAAGGTTTATCACAGTTAATAAACCTTACCGTTTTTGATATATTTTCAATTTTATGAAATTGCAGTAAAAATTTTCATCTTCACTTGAAGAGAAGGGTAAAAAACGGTATGATACAATTTGATAGACAATTACATTGTGCATCTGATTCACGTAAAATATACAGGGTGTTCCATTTAATTTAAACACGTTATTGCCGTTTAAAGCTAGTAATTATTATTATTATTTATAGACACTCTGTATAAGGTAGTATTATTTTTATTATTGCAACACAATATCTGATCAATAAATAATCTTCAGTAAATATTTAGTATTAAAAACGTTGATACCCTGGAGAAATGAAGCCTTAAAATTTTTACTGAAATTTCATAAAATTCAAAATATAAGGTAAGGTTTAAGTGTGATAAACCTTAATCAAATTTTTACCTTTATTTCAATCGTAGAATCCAAAAATAGAATAATATACAGTGTTCCATTTAAAAAAATACAACTATAATATTTTTTACTTATTTGGGACACTCTTGATCTTGTAAACATATTTTTAAATTGTAGCTCTAATAGTCCTTCAACAAATCCAAAACTTAGAATTTGTAAAAATCTAATCGTTTAACTACAATACTCCGTGTCGTATGTGGTGAACAACCCTGTACTATAGCTTATTACAATATTTTGTCGAGTGCAGATAGAAATCGTAAATTGTCCTTCTTTAGGATTCTTTATTCCAGTGAACTTGAATGATACCCAAATGTTAGTTCAAAACCAGTGGCTGTTACAGAGGGGGGCCAGCCCCCAAAAATCTATAAATTGGGTTAAATATTAGGTTTTTGGGTTAAAAATGGCGCCCTAAAAACCATATACTACATTACTTTTTACTTGGGCCCCCCTAAAATAAATTCCTGTATCCGCCCCTGTTCAAAACTGTATATTTTGACAAGTTCTGCATTAATATAAAGTGTTTAAAATATTATATTTTATTTTTTCAGGCTATATTCATTTGAACATATCCATTATCTTGGATAAATTTTGACTAGAAAATACTAATTTCGTTTTACCATATGAAAAATAAAAAAAACCATACCATGTCCTTATTCTACACACATCATTTTTAAAATGAAAGATTCAACTTATCTATAATGCCAGGGCCACATCTGTCGTTATCACGGTGAATTAGAGATGAGCAAGAAATCGCGAACTGCGATTCAATCGCAGCGACTTTAAAATCGCAATAGCAACCTACGATTGGCTCTCATAGGAAATTGCGATTTCTTCTATTTGCGAGTTTCAATTTAAGCAATTAATATTAGTCTAGCTGCGATTTTGCTGCGATTGTAATTTTGTAAATCGGCACGATGATTTCTATCTGCGAGTCTGAATTTTCAGGAGCTGCGATTTGCGATATTGATTGGTGCGAATGTAATTTTGTGGTCTATTGAAGCATTTTATCGTAAACTGCGATTGCATTTTCTCTTTGATATTATTTATTTATAGAAAGGATATTATTTTTCTAGGGTCACGATCATAATATTATAACGGGTGTTTCTCAGGGTGCATCCACACTATCCTAAAAACGGCGTATCGGCGTAACGGCGTAACGACCTTGAATATATTTCCAGTAATTCTATTAGCTGAAAAATTCATCTGTCAGAAATTTTATCTGTCAAATTCATCTGTCAAAAATTTCAGCCAATAGAATTACTGGAAATCGATTCAAGATCGTTACGCCGTTACGCCGATACGCCGTTTTTAGGATAGTGTGGATGCACCCTCAAGAGTAATTCACCTCTATAACTTTTTTTATTTTTTCTGATAAAAAAACGAGATTTGGTATGTTAGTTAGTATATGACATAAATTAGGATTGATTGTTTTTGAATTTTTTTTTATTGAATCTTCAATACTATATGACGATTCCATAATATGAAAATATTGTATGTTTTTATATTGAAAGGAATTAATAAATAGTTATTTAAACAAAATACAAGAAGCAGAAATTTAAGGCCCAAGAAACCATACATATATGCTCATTCTCTGCATTAAGTTCATCAGACTGAAGCAGTTATTTATTTATTCAATTGTTTAGTACTTTCTGTAGTCACTTCCTGTTTCGCCGGAAATGATTACAACTTTTGATTTTTAAATGACACCCTCGGTATTTTTTTACCAACTACCAATCTAACCTAACCAAAAAGCATTTTTTTACCAATCATTTGGTTTGGTAAATATTAAAATAGCAATCGCAGGTTACAGTCGCTGCGATTTAAAAATCCCAATCGCAGTTTCAATTGCGATTAGAGAATCGCAGTTTTGCTCATCTCTACGGTGAATATTCCAATGCGAAAATTGTGTACATACATCACCACTTCACTTAAAATTTTACTAAATTTATTGGTACACAGATATGACCTTGGCATAAAATCCATAAATGAAAATTTAACTAGTTTCCATTTTACACAATCTGCTACAGATCATTTGATCCAGTTAGTCCACTCTATCAAAATAATAATTTTTCTTCTACTATAGCTTCACCCAAATGTCCTTTTTTCTTTTGGTGTTTAATCAAACTGCTCTTATCGTGATATCTATTATTACAAACTGGACATCCATAAGGAGTTTCACCTGTATGTATCCTAAGGTGAATCTGGAAATTAAATTAAAACAGGTATTCATTTTCACCGTAATGCGGATGGTTTTTTGTTATTTCAAAAAGAAGAATGTACAATTCTGAAACAATACTTTCAACACTCTATTAAAAAAAAACAGTGTGTGCACTATGTGCGCATATTTGAAGTGAAACTTCTTACTAATAGCTATTAAATTGAAGGATTTGAAGGATATATATATATTTTTTTTATGAATGATTTTTATAAACTTCAAAAAAATTAGAGTTAATATAAAATCATATACTATTCTAGCTTTATAATTGTATAATGTTTTTTAATTTTTATTAAAAAACGATAATTCGTTACCCAGCCGGATAGCCCTGGCTGCTGTGGCCATTAAACCAAAATACTACTACATCTGTATCTCTGACTACTACCCTTGTATATGAATTTTTAAAGTAGCTCAACCTAAGACGTTTATGGATGTAAAGCACCAGATGGCGGGGCGTATTTCACAGTCTTTTACTACAGAAAAATATTTTTTGTTACTCTGAATTTTGAAGCGACCAATAAAAACAGAGAAAATAAAAATCGATAATTTTCGGACTGTGCCAATTGGTTACTAATCGACCAGATACTTTTTATCTATTAGATATGCTATAAAAGCTGGTAATTATACAATTCGACCATTGTAAATACCCGACAAATTCAGCAAGGCCGACGAGCCCGATGTTTTTCACTGATAAGAAAAAAAAAATGTTTGTTTAGATAATTTTCGAGATATTTTTCTTTCTGAATGCACATTTTTAAAGTATTTTATATTCTTTGTCCGCTATACTGGTCGCACGTATCGAAGTTCTGTTTCTTCTAGTTTTAAAAAATGTTATTATTTCTTTGTAGTTGTAGTGTAAAATTAGATTAATTTTATTAAGTTTAATTATAATGTTTAGTGTAGAATACCAGAAATAGTTTAGTAGTATTTTTATAGTTTATTTTGTAGTTAAGTAGTAGGTGAAGGGTGAAGGGATAATTTGGTTATTTTTTCTTTTTGTTTGATTAATTAGTAAGTTTGATAATTTGTTCAGTGTAGAATACAAGAAGTAGTTGTGTAGTGTTTTTATAAGAGATTATATTCGTTTATTTTGTAGACGAGTAGTAGGTGAAGGTATTTGGGTATTTTTTCTTTTTATTTTTCTTTTAATTGTAGTAATTCTATTAAGTATTGTGATAGATACACTATATCTTCCTTCAACTTCGTTGAAAAGTGCGTTATCATATAATTTTGGTTTTCTGGTAGTAGAATATACGAAAAAAATCTGATCAAATTTATTTTAAAATAAATTAATCGAGTCTTATTAATCAAATTAATCTAGTCAAATAATAATAATAGTTAGTTTCTAAATACTATACAGGGTGAGTTTCCTACGATGTTCTCTATGGGTATCTCGGAAACTACTGGAGATAGAGAGTCGGTTAAATGGGAAAAGAATTGCAGTTTTGTGGGGTCATAAATATGCGCCTTTCGGATTTTTCGGAGAAGTTCAAGGCTTACTAGATATTTCGAAAAAAAAAACAAATTTTTGCTATTTTAAAACTTGTCCCTAATTCAATTATAATCTATTTTAGACAAAAAGTTTTCAGATAAAAGTTGTAGGTAATCACATACCTAATGAGTTTGTGTTTTCTGTTTTTTTTCCCTAAAGCATGCCATTTTTGACATATGACACAAACATGTTATTTTTTAAATGGAAACCATACTTGGCCATGACTTCATAAAAAGCGCCATTTTTTAATCTTTTTAGCGATATAGGTATAATATGTTTTTTTCGAAAAATTACAAGTTATAGCCAATTTTTTTCTTTCTTGGCTAATTTCCATACCAATAATATCATGCCAATTAGTTGGCATCAAAAATGTAAAAAGTTTTATGTTTTCAAAAAAAAATATCGTAAAATTCGTAAAGCACTCAATTTAGAATAAAATAATCTAAGAATGAAATGATTCTTTTATAAACCTGCATTAAATCAAATTAAAATAGGTATTGTTGGGGACCCGTGTGAACTCGACCTAACCTAACTATATGTCCCGCCCTCAGATGACCTTAACATCGCATTAAAGAATAGACACGGTAATGATTCATTCGTTCGAGAAGAATCGAGTCCCACTGGAATGGACTAGTACATACGAGAACATTCGAAAACCTTCTCTACGCACCTAACGATCTATGGACTATTCTAGTGTTCTTTACCTGTCGGCAGGGTTCGGAAGTAGTTAATTAAGACGTAATTTACCTGATTAACTACGTGTAGTTTTTCTTCAAAACTACGTCTTTTCCAGTTCATTAACTACATGAAAACTACGTTAATAAACTATGTATTGATATTATGAATAATTTTCCTTTGTATGAGGTGCAATAGAGATAATATGATGAAAATATTATATTTAAAGCCATATTTCTTCCGTTTTCTTAAATACATTATGTGTTTTTAAAGCTTCAACTTCTTATAACCTCACCTCAAACCTTTGATATTTGAAAGTTACATACATAGGTTACATAAACTACACCCTCTACATAAACTACATTAACTACATGTAATGTAGTTTATGTAGTTTTTAAAAGTAACATGTAGTTTTCCGAACCCTGCCTGTCGGTATAAAAGCCGGCGGCTGTGGCCTACAGAGGGCAGTTATAAATATACAGTTGACGCGCTAAAATTCAAAATAAATTCTTAGTTATAAATCGTTTGTAAATAGTTCTATAAGTCTTTTATCGTTATTGTTTTTGTTAATTAGTGTTTAAATAAATTGTGACTTTCTATCCACACGGAACCGACGAAAAACGTAACAGTATGTAACTTTTTTTTAAATATTAATTAACAGCAATTAGCATTATCATAAATTATAAATAATGTATATATAATGTAAATAATAATTTCTTTGTTAATACGGTTTAGAATTCTTAAAATAACAGGCAAAAATAATCCACAATTTACAATAAAATAAAAGTTTCGTGTCAATTTCTTAGTCAGCTGATCACTATTAAAGTTCGTAGAAACCCGGGCTATATTATTATATTACTCTGAGGAAAATAACGAAAATAATCGATATTTTTGACTCGGCCCCGAAAGGTTCACGATTTGTCCTCCAGTTGGTAGCACATTTTGTCTAGTCGGTTGAGCAACTTTAAGAATATATAAACAAGGCTACTACTAACCAACAATTTGTTATGTGTGGTCTGTTTTTGTTTAAATGTTTTGTTCATTATTCATTATTTATAGTGATTTACAGTAATTTTATTGAATTATACGACTATTCTCGTTGATTATAAAATAGTTGGTATGAAATAAATATGACAGTGTCCTTCAATGAAAACGCCAGTAACTAACTCAAATCATTCTAACTCTGAGCTGGCAAATGAGCTAGATGCTAGATGCTATCGATAAAAATATGCATGAAAATTCCACACCCGTAATTTTTAACCAATCAAAACGTGTTTTTTGACAAATCACCATGGCAACGGATAAATTTTAGTGAAAATTTTTTCCTTGTGGGCACCCAACAGCGAATTATACTGGAAGTTTTTTGACGTTTATAATGACAGAATATCTTTTTGAGAGTCTGGTTTTTATTTGTTTACATGATAATTTTGATACATTTCAACTACAAAGCTGAGATGTTTTCTATATTCTTTGGACCTTTCTTCTTAATGGCGAAAATGTAGGACTTGGACGGATTGGATGTAGGACGGATTGGACTGAATTAAATGTCTAATGAAATATATATATATATATATATATATATATATATATATATATATATATATATATATATATATATATATATATATATATATATATATGTATATATATATATTTGTTTTCACTCTTGGCTTTAGGTCGTTGGGGTTGCAAAGATGTTTCTAGATTTTGTTCATTTTTTTATTTTGTGACGACGTTTCGACAGTATATGTCTTTTTCAAGCCTCTTTAAGTACATAAAAACAGTCAGTTAAAATCAATAAGATAAAATGTCAAACTAAAAGGTCTTACCTTGAACGTAGATTCTTTCAGAGTTAAAATTTGTTAAACTGGACAACACAATAACACATATTACTATTGTTTTTAATTGTTTTTGGACATTACACTTTACTACGAGCACGTACGTATTTCCTTGCCGATCGCTCTGTATAAAACACACTCATCGGTTCAATACCCGATGTCTACCACTGTTCTTAGTGCGTTAGAGGATCAACAGATATATTTTTGCTTAGATTTTTAGGTCTTTTTTTATCATTTACCGCGTTTTTGTTTTTTTTGTATCTCCACCATTTCATAAAATTCTCTCTTTTTTTGGTGATTTTCTGTTTTTAAAATTTTAGTTTTATTAAAATCGAATGTATGATTTTCTGTTGACACATGATTTGTGAGGGCGGTTACATTTTTTTTATCATACTTGTGCCCTTTCAGTCTATTCGGCGCAGTTCGAACATGGAATTTCATATATAACATTGCTTCGTTTGTTTAACGGTGTTACAGATTTTAGTTTAGAGAAATTATTAGCTAACAAGTTATGTGCTTTATGACAAATCGTTATATTATACTTTTTGTGTAACCCTTGTAATTGTTGAGACAACCCATTTACGAAGGGGAGCGCAATATATCGTGTATCTTTTTAATGTTTTTATTTTCTATTTGATTTTGATTGTTTTTTTGTGTTTAAGAATTTTTGGAGTCTATCTTTGAATATTTTGTTTATTAGTTTTTGTGGATGGTTATTTTCTTTTAATGCATTTTTTGCTTTTTTTATTGCAGCATCTCTATATTCTGGGTCGGATAGACGAATTGATCTGTCCGCCAAGCCAATTATCACCGATCTTTTTTGGTTAGCTGGATGGTTAGATAGAAAATTGAGAAAAAAAGTAAAATAAAGTATAATATAACGATTTGTCATAAAGCACATAACTTGTTAGCTAATAATTTCTCTAAACTAAAATCTGTAACACCGTTAAACAAACGAAGCAATGTTATATATGAAATTCC